GGCACATTCTGCATGGAGCACTGGGTGTTATGCACAAACAATGAATCATGGAACACTACATCTAAAACTAATGATGTAATGTAGGGGATTAACATAAGAATAAAAAAAAAGATCTTAAAGGTGAAAAAAATAAATAAATAAAGGAACTGTTCCCTAAAAAAAAAAAAAAAAAGAATTAGAAATACAGGTGAGAAAGCATTATTTCGTATATGTATATAGTGGTGAAGTCATGAAACCACCACTTCACAGAAAGCATAGGTAAAAGGCAAGATGGCTAGGAATGGATCTAGGAACATGATCACTTAAAAGGTGCCCAAGAAAAGAAGACTAAAAATTGGAAGAAAACTAGGAGGTTAAGCACCAGTGCTAGAAAAAATGTATACTTATAGAGGAGAATTACTACCAAAGTTCAGAGACAATAGAAACAGTGTAAGGACTAAAAATAAGTTGTTGCAAATACTCAGGAAAGAGTATTTCTAATGAAGAAGTTTGGGCAAAAAAATTTCTCTAAAACCGAAAAAAATTTTTTTTCCTCTAAAACCAAATTAAAAAAAATTTTTTTTAAAGATTTTATTTATTTGACAGAGAGAGAGACAGCGAGAGCAGGAACACAAGCAGGCGCGGTGGGAGAGGGAGAAGCAGATGCCCCGCTAATCAGGGAGCCTGATGTGGGGCTCAATCCCAGGACCCTGGGATCATGACCCAAGCCGAAGGCAGACACTTAACGACTGAGCCACTCAGGCGCCCCTAAAACCAAATACTTTTAATGATATATTTAAGAATACACTTTTTGACTATTTAAATTCCATAATTTTTAAGTGGTTGTGTTCCAAAAGATACTTCACAAATCACTTGTTTAATTCACAATGAATTTCCCATCAAAAATGTTACAAATAATGGTTAACTTTGTAATTTAGCCCACAATGTAAAAACTATTTTGTACATATGCAATGGGATGCTTGCAAAGCCATACTGGGGTATGTGAAACAAAACAAAATAAGAAAATATTTTTAAAATACCATGAATTCTGGCAGGTGATGAAAATACAGACAAAAATAAGGAGCTGATATCTTTTACTCTTTGTTCAATGGAAGTTCTTAACTAGCTATACAATGAATTTATTCTAATACAGTATTCAAAATAAAATAATTTTACTACAAATAAAATAAAAGCACTAGCGTCTTCATGAGTTTTGAAGTTATAATTTGGCACCAATTTAAGTCTCATGCGGGAATAATTTTCTACTTATTTTTGTCTGTAAGTATTTTCAGGTAGGTAGAACATTTTACAGCTAATTCTGAAGTATACTTCAGGGAAACTTAAAGAGCTTTAGAGATTGATGCCACTAGTTTTGTACTATTTCCAATTTCACTTTAAAATGTATGAATTTTTGTTTCTTTTGTACTATCTTATTGTCACTATTATACTTGGGGTATATTTGAAAACTAGGTAAGGAGAAAAACTGAGAGATGAAAAAACGGAAGAACATGGGTTTTCCTAGACTTAATTAAAACCAAGAGGAAGGGACATAAAATTATATGTGTGTACCTGTATAAAGGGGTGAGGAGAGGAAGAGGAACAGGAAATTTCCTGGGGGGGATGTCTTGGTAAAAAAGAAGAAAGAATAGGGGACACTATTCTTTAAGTATTATTAGATTCAAGTCATTCAACAAAGATATGTGCTGAGTGATAAGCATAGTCAAATTTCAAGGAGTAAATACATAGAGGGAGAACAAGTTATATGCAAGTGACTTCCTATATAAGATACTCTTAAAGTTAGAGTTTCTTTCATGGGTAGGGCCATTATTTTGCATTAAGGGAAATGAGTTATTGTGTCGGATTTATTTTAGGATGTAAGACTGTAAATGGCAGGCATCACAGATAGTAGCACTCTTGATTAATTTATGGCATCTGTATTGGCCAATATATTAATGCAACTTTAAAAAGATTTAAAAATTCGTACTTGAATTTCATCTAAAACTTAGTCATTAAACACAAGGTGGCTATGATAAAGCAATTTAGTATACACATGACTGCCAATGACTCAACAATCAATATTTTGGGTATTTCACAGACCTGTCTTCAAAAAGGGAGATAAGTACTCAGATGGTTAGAAAGGCAGGGTTTCCTAAAGAGTTGTAGAGACTCTTCAAAATCTGTTTTGAAATACTGCTAAGCTATGTGTTTTTGCACTTTTCTCTAGAAAAAGGCATTAACCCATCTAAGATACTAAGGGTCTAAAAAGAACAGGTTATAAAACAAAGGTCTAAAGGATTGCTAAGAATTCTAAATATATCTAACATTAGCCTCAGTCTTGGTAAGCAGAAGACTAAGGGAAAAGAACCACTGTTTCAATGTACCATAATGGATACAAGAGACAGTGCACTGCACATAAATTACAGTATAATTTTATGATTGTAAATTATGTTTTTCTTTGAAAAATTACAATTAATCGATATAGGAAGTCATCTTAGATTTAGGCCAAAGGTAACAGAATTTAACATATACAACCATTTAAATATCAACTAATTTCTGTACAACAAAGCTTTGTAAATAGTATCTTAACATTTTGAAAATGAAATAATTATAAAGTGTCACCCTTCCTTCATGAGTAAGCAATTTCAAAACAATTAATAAGAACAATAACCAACCCACCAATACCCTCACTATCTTCAACAAATAATTAAACAGGCATCGGAACTCACCTAGATTATCTCTGAGAGCACTAGCGTCTTCATGAGTTTTGAAGTTATAATTTGGCACCAATTTAAGTCTCATGCGGGAATAATTTTCTACATTAGCTAGTTTCCAGTGAATTGGATTTTGTTTCCTATGAATTTTCATAAGTAAACAAGTAAAATTACTTAGCTTGAAGTTACAAAGATTGGCTGAATGAAACAGAGTAAGAAAGTATCAAGAATTTTACATTTGTTTAGCACCATTTTATAAAAACAGTCACATTCATCATGTCATTTGACCCAAACGACCCTAAAAGAAAACCAGTGTGGATATGCATAGCTGCAGTTTATACATGAAGAACCCTAAGAAGGCTAAATTATTTGCCTGAGATGCCAAGGTGTTTACAGGTATCAGAAATAAGAACTGAACATAAATCTTCACACTTACAGCTGATATCTTTTACTCTTCAACTGTTCAATGGAAGTTCTTAACTAGCTATACAATGAATTTATTCTAATACAGTGTTCAAAATAAAATTACTATAAATAAAGAGAATATAACTGATCTAAACATAAGAGCTAAAACTCTTAGAAGAAAAGACAGGAGTAAGTCTGTGAACTTGGATTTGGGAATGGTTTCTTAGATATTACACCAAAAACATAAACAACAAAAGAAAAAAAGAGGTAAACTGGACTTTGAAATTAAAAAATTTTTGTATACCAAAGGCTACTATCAAGAAAGTGAAAAGACAATCTACATATTTACAAATCATATATCTGATAAGGGTCTATTACTGAGAAAAAGAACTCTTACAACTGAACCACAAAATGTCAAACAATCTAATTTAAGAGTGAGCAAAGAACTTGAATAGACATTTCTTCAAAAAAGATATACAAATGGCCAACAAGTATGTGAAAAGATACTCAACATCACTCGTCATTAGGAAATACAAATCAAAATCATAAGATACCACTTCACATCCACTAGGATGGTCATAATAAAAAAACTGGAAAAATTTTACAAGTACTGGTAAGGCTGTGGAGAAACTAGAACCTGCAAACAATGCTAATGGGAATGTTAAATGCTGCAGTTGCTGTGGAAAACTGGCAATTCCTCAGTAAGTTAGACACTGGATTATCTACATGACCTAGCAATTTTGCTTGTAGGTATATACTTAAAAGAATTACAAAACAGATGTTGAGGGATGCCTGGGTGGCTCAGTCGGTTAAGTGTCTGCCTTTGGCTCAGGTCATGATCCTGGAGTCGAGGCCCCGCATCAGGCTCCCTGCTCAGGGTAGAGACTGCTTTTCCCTCTGCCCCTCACCCCATTCATGCTCTCTCTCTCAAATAAATAAAATCTTAAAAAAAAGAATGGAAAAAACATGTTGAAACAAACACTTGTTCACAAATGTTCATAGCAGTACTATTTACAACAGCCATAAAGAAAACAACCCAAATGTCTATCATCTGATGAATGAATAGACAAAATGTGGTATATCCACACAATGGAATATTATGTGGCCTTTAAAAAAGAAGTACTGATACATGCCACAATATAATGAAAACATAATGCTAAGTGAAAGGGTTAAGGCCACATATTGTATGACTCCATTTATATAAATATCAAGAATAGGCAAATTCATTGAGACAGAAAATGGATTGGTGGTTGCCAGGAGCTGGGTAAAGGAATAGAGAATGACTGCCAAATGGGTCCAGGGTTTCTTTTTGCAGTAATGAAAATGTTCTAAAGCTGGACAGTGGTAATGATTGCACATTATGAATGTACTTAATGTTACTAAATTGTATATTTTTAAATGGCTAAAATAGTAAAGTTTATATTATGTGTATTTTACCACAATAAAAGAGGTGTAATATATGTGCTATATATTACATTATTATATACATATTATTATAATTCAGCAAAACATAAGAGATTTAGGATCAAGTAAATAAACTGTAAAATACTGAAACACATAACATCACTAACTCTAGCTCAAAGAGGCAGTATCAGGAAGACAGATTCAAGACTGAATTCTACTTTAGAAACCAATATTGCACTGTATGTTCACTAACTAAAATTTAAATAAAAATAAATTAAAAAAAAAAGACTTAATTCTACATCACACGGTAAAAGGAAGGGAAACAATTCCATGGTGAAAAACATATATACAAAGCTCTAAACATCCCAGACCTGTAATTCACAAAAAGACAACCAAATTAATTAAAAGCTATTTTTTTGTAAGTTGAATGTTTTAAAAATTGGATGGGAGAGGTCACTGGCTCAAAAAGTTCTAGGCAAGAGTTCTAAAGAAGAAAGGGTATTTAATAAATAATATCCTCCTACCTTTCAGCCCAAGGTCCCCTTTCAGATGTAAGATAGAGCTGTACTGCCTTCCAGCGTCTCAGAGTGATTAACTGTTGATTGCTAAGTTGTTTAAGTGTATTATTATACCTCAAGTTCTCTTGGCGGGCTTTTCTATTAAATGGTTCCACAAAAAACTCCTGAAACAGCAATAAATAATAGCACTGAATCATATATTTAAATAATTTTAAAAATCTGACCCAATAAAATCATGCAGAAAAGGAAAGAAGCTGGTAACCAACAGTATTTTCTTGTTCCATTAGAATAACTTTTTTTTTTT